TTACCAAGTACAGATCATCATGTAGCCTCTTAAAAATCCAACCAAACCAAACAAACAAAGAGAAAACTGCTATTTCTGTGTGAACTAAAAGATCTATCTGACAGATTAGCTCCCAAAGAACTTAAAAGCTGATGGTATGGAACAATCTACAGGATTCAGCCTGACTGCCAAAGCGTGAAATAAAATGCACAAATGAGCTCATGGCCAGATGAATTACAGACTCCTTAGAAAGCCTATTGATCCCAATGTTTGCTCCAGTGTTTGCTCAAGGTATGTTTTCAGTTATCCGATCTGCCTCACTAAGTGCTCAGTCTGTGCCTTTCACTTTGATATTGGAGCTCTCAGCACACATCCCGCTGAAGCAGGAGCATTTGGGAGGCCTGGGAAAATCTCAGCTTTGAGGTAAATCCAGAAATACAGGTAAGAGCTTAGACATTAGAAGGATGAGGGAAAGAACTGGCAAACCCAACTATTGAGAAAAATGTCAGTGAAGTTTGTTATTTTGTTAAAGCTAATGTGTCTCAGCAAATAGAATGTTTGATGCAGCCTGGGCAGGAAAGACACACCTTTCAGCTGTGGTCCCCTGCTTGGTCAGAATACTGAGAAATTAAAAACTTCCCTGAATCAGAGCAGTGAACTGGATCTCCAGCAGCATTGCCCATTGCTTTAATGAGCAGGTAGGTATGCCTGTTCACACACATTTACAGAATACATATTTGGGGTGAACCCTTTCAAAAGGTTTTGCTTTTGCTCCAAAGAAAATAAAATCTCATCCTCCTTACCTAAACTACAGTACTTAAGTCACCACCTTCAGTTAGCAGGAGCTTTATTAATACAGAAGCTGCATTCGCATTCACTTCCAAGAGGTACTGTGGGAGCTGTCTGCCAGGACAAGGCAAAGCACAGTGATAACACATGCATAAGGCTGAGACAATAACAAGGATGGTTTTTGTCTCAATGATGAAGACTTCAACCCCAAAATCAGGTTTAGTAATTATTAAAATGAACTTGTGCTGGGAAGTACAGTAGCAGTTACTGGAAAACCAAGACAAGAAGTTTTTTTCTATTAAAAGACTGAAATAGATATAACAATGGATACATTTTTGCATCACAGAGGGTACTTTGTAGACAGTATTAAAAAAAAAAAACCACAACAATTTGCAAACTGCACAATGAAGTTTTATAAGACACAGCTGAGGAACTTCAGCTTTGTACATTATTTAATTCAAACATGTACAGTAAAAGAAAAATAATGGGAATGTAAGTTTGTACTCATTTCCAGAAAACAAATTTGTCTGACAAACAAAGTTTCACAAGTAAATAAACCTTGTAATGCAATGACTTTAGAACAAATGCACATCGAGCTACTGCAGTCCTATACATTGTACTTCAGCCGTCACCAGCCAGTTCAACTGCTACGTAGCCAGGAGACTTCACTTACAACATGTAACAGCACACAGATGGTAAGATGCAGAAAGCAGGGTACGTGACATAAAATGTTACAAAACACTTGTCAAAATAATATACATATGCAAGTCATCCCTAGTATTTACAAGAAATAGTTTTAAATTAGAGATCATTCAGAAGGCATCTTCTACATACAAATGCCACACATGTAGAAAAAAAGTAGAAAGGCAGTCAAAGAAGGGTACTGAGTTAGTTATGGCTAAAGACCTTTGGCTCCAAAACTCTCTTACAATTATTTTCAAAAGACAACTAAAATGTGGAACATTTGAGTATTCTGTCTTTGAACTCCGTTATTACACCGACCACTAAAACTCAACGTGAAATTTAGCATGGCAAGAGCCACTTGTAAAACAGTCTTATTATTTTTATACATCAAATGCTCTGAGTTGGATGTAATTATGGTTTGGCATTTTCCTAACTCAGTGGGAACATATTTGAGGACAATTACATTTCACTGCATCTCATGCACAGTCTGAGGTTATCTGCTCAGCAGGCAGTCAGGAAGGCTCTGGCTGCGCTTTATCTAAATGAGGCACAAACGTACTAAGTAGTTGCCCTAGAACTTTTGATAGTAACTTAAAGCATGCAAAAGTGAGAGGAAAGATGTTGCCGTCACACCTTTCTGATCATATGTAAGTTTTGTCATCAGGAGGACCAGGCCAAGAGTTGCTAGAATACAAAATTATACATTTTAGTTGCAACTCCTTTTTCCCACAGACTGAAGTCAGGCTGAACCCCAAGTAAACATTTGTCTTAATTGTTGGATAATGTAATTGTGTATTTTCATGTAACTAGAATTTGGTTAAAAGATTTTGGTGTAGTCCAAGTTTGGCCTGTCTTGTCATATTTTATATTAATCTGTAGCAAGGTCAGACTGCAAAGAAAGACACAGAGAGTATTACAAAACAGCCATGTCTATATGTAAGGTAGCATACATAAAACTCTCCTGAGTAATCTGCATCATGAAACATTTGCTTTTCATCTCTCTGAAATACACGTCTCGATTAAAAAAAAAACCTGCTGCATCTAAATCTGTATGTGAACATTTCTCTTCATTTTTAGGGCTAAGGCACCAGCACCAGCAGTGACATGTCAGAAGACAGATGCATCCCAAAACCTCCTTGTTTTCCAGCACTCCACAGAACTGAGCCCTGGAAGGAAGTAGGTTCTAGCAAAGACACATACATAAGTAAATGTGGATGTCAAAATGTATTCAGGCCCAGCTGGGAAAGTTTCTGGGTCAGCACTGCAATCCAACTCCAGACTTCTTTTTTTTTTTCACCTAGAACAAGTCTTTCAAAATGTTATGAAAAACATCTCCACTTCCACCATACGTGTATCACTTTGGTTTGCCAGCTTGAACATGGTAAGTACCCACAAAAATGGGTATGTAAGAAACACAAAAGGGTTACTCATTTAAGGGGAAGGGCATGCATCCATGTCTGCATTTGGAAGTCTGTTACTTATGCTTAAATTGAGCATTTAGAATTGTCTTTTAAAAAAATCTGAACAGAAACGCCCTGTTTTAAGCATCAAAAGGAAAATACAACCCAGCGAGTTTTTTTCAATAACTTTCCTGTGCATTTGCTCTAAGCTGGATCACTGAAAGTGTCAGTGCAGATTTCTGGCTCTGAACTGTTTCAGGTCATCTTCCATCACTACGGGAAAGCACAAGCCATGAAGTTCACTATGCAGTGAACAATTTGGCTGAGCATCACCAGACTTTGCATTATTGCTGGGCTATACACAGAAGGCATTTGAAATGTACAATTGTCAAAAGATGTCATTTAAAATCAAAACCACAAACCTGGGCTTTGCAGAAGTTGCCACCAAGTTATCAAATCACAAAATCTAACAACTAGTGGGCTTCACAACACTGATGATAAATAAAAATATAGAGGTAACAACAATAGTAGGAACAAATACATGTATAAAGGCTTTTTTACATTGTTGTTAGGTTGCCTGGCCTCTAGCCCCTTGTTTGTTCTTCATTTATTACAGATTCATGACATGGCTGATTTTGTCCATTGTCAAAGAATACTCTTGGATCTATCCTTATCATCAGATAATGCCCCTAATCAGCAGCATAGGATAAAGTATTGTGAAGACATTCATAGCAAATCACTTCTGAAACTTATGGAGTCTTTCCTTCCTTCTGTATTATCAGCAGTCTTGTCATCCTTAATGAAAGCTATCAAGCAGAAATGATCAGTGCTGCAAATATCAAGATACTGTTTCTTCCTGGTGTTATTCTCCCAAATCAACTTCATGTCATAGGCAAATTGCTGCAATGCAAACCACAGGTTGCATATGCTGGCCAGAGCTGACCTTGACTGAATCAGGTTCTTCCCCTTCCAATACAGACTGACAACTCTGAGGAAAAAAAAAATAAAATTATCTATCTCTGGTCCATACAATTTCTCTGTCCCTTCGAGTAAGGACTTCTCTTTCTCTGTGAAAAAATAATTGGTCAAAACTCACTGTCGACTGACTGTGTATAAGAAGCATGGATCCAGACTGCTTCAATATATTTACATTACCATGCATCCATTTTTTTTTAAGTCAAGCTATATGAATACAAAGTGTGAGAACTATGTAACGTAGCCAGGAGCCAGCACATACTATCTCAACTCTGACTTTGGACATTCACATTATCTCCATTAGAAAATAAAAAAATACTTTTTATACAGAGAAACAAGCATATTGGAAATATAAAGAAGCGCCCTCCCAGGCAGACAAGTGCACAAAAAGTGATATAAAAGCTCTATACTGAAGAGCACACGTGCATGCAGTATAGTATATTGCTGTGACTGAAAGTAACCCATCTGAGATGCCCTGGGCTCCTCCTTTCCACTTGTGTGCAATAAATGCACATACCTTTAAGGTCAGTTTCACACTCCTATCATGTTTCTACATGACAGAATAAAATTTCCCTGTTCCAATCTGGAATATGGTAAGGCCTTGCGGGATGTTCTCCTGCCATTTGGCAATTTAATAGAACAAGACAGGAAGGATTAGGGTCCACTACATTCTGCAGCAGCTGGTTAATCACATAGGGTGTCTCCACCTGATTTTAACAGGTGGTCTCTGCTCAGTGCTCCAAATGGAAGGAGAAAACTCCTTGCTGATATACCCCTAAGGAAAAATTCCTCCCTATCCTAGATTTGGCCATCAATATAAAGTTAAGAAAAATGAAATGTTACAGTGACCTGCTCGATTCCATCACTACTTCAACCTAACTAAGAAACCAAGATCAAATACTACTGCTTCAGAGTAACAGCGAGTTGTCTTGTCAGAACAGAGACTGCTCTTCATCAGCAATGCTGACACCTGGCAACATTAACTTCAGAGCACTCCTGAGGAACTTCATTCTTCCTCTAGACAATGGTAGCGTTTCCAGCTCAAGGAAGCCCAAGGTCTTCCCTCCAAAACTGGAGATTCACTGGGCTCCAAGAAACCTAACCATGTCTTCAAGGTCCTTCTCTGGAGTAAGTCTCCCTCCGTGCCAATGTCCTCCCTAGGTCCTTGGCCTCTCACTTTTTAAAGGGGGTGAGTTTGTTGAAGGTGTGCCAGAAGAGAGATGGCTTCCGCTTGGGTTCTGCCAGAGCAAAAACCTGCTGCTGAGGGATGCTGGTAGGCACAGTGATGTGGCGCTGATGAATAGGGTGCAGGCTTTGGTGTGGAGGAGGCACAGGACACCCATTGTAGCTTACCCCTGCAAAGGGAACAGTTTAGCAAAGCACGTGAATCAGTTGGCAGAGCAACCAATACCAGGAAAACTGAAGCACAGAACCAAGGGACAAATTCAATAGTCAATAAAGCCAGCATGGATTTTTCCATGATCTTGAATGAAAGCACTACTAAAGGTTACTTTTTCTTATGTTAAGCTTTTTAATTGCTGCATTGATTTGACTTAAGAAGAGAATAATACCAGTAAAAATAACATTACAGAATTACCAAAAATAAGCAGCGGTTTCACATCATCTGGCTATATTGTTAGCACAAGTGAATTCTGGTATTTCAAAGGAATGACTTAACACAGTAGACACTTGGATTTTAGTCAACTCTAAGACTAATACTGCTACCAACAAAAATGTTATTTTTTCAATTTGGAAAATATTTGTACAGGCTAATGTTCTCAGACTTCGACCTTTGTGCATTCTGACCAGAATCTCCTGATAACAATTTTCAGCCACTCCCCTGAAAATATGAACAGATAAGTTTCTAGTGACTGATAAAGAAAAAAAACGTTAATATTAATCCCAGGGAGCAGAGGACTACCTAACATCAGCTCCTTCACTCCTAAATTTAGGCTTTATCTGGTCCCATTTGCTGAATTTTTTCTCTCAACACACTAGAGATGTACCCCAATTTAACCTTAATATGGAAAAAGACAAAATCACAAGGCATTTTCTGAGAGAGAAAAGGAATAAAAAAGCTGTTTCCACAGAAACACTTTTCTAGTCCATTCTTCCTTCTACTCTAGGACAGCCATTTTGAGTGTTGTTATCATAAATACAGCAACACATGGTTTGCCAAAAGAACTTTGGGATATTTTACACAAAGCACAGAATTGCTTAAGAACAGGCCGTCTTAGTAAAAGCAAAGGAAGGAATCAGTAACCCTCATTCCTAATTTAAACTCTATATGCACTTTCTTACATCCTTAAATAAATTGCTTATCTCTTGAGTTTCTTCTATAATAAAGAGAATTACTGACTTGTTTGTCTGAAGGAGACTGGGGAGCTGATTTAGTAGACAGAAAGGAATCTGATCTTAAAATACATGTTAATGGAAATTATTTTAACTCCATGTAAACCATGAATTCTTTTTTAAAGATTGAAGAACTCAACCATAGACAGATTGTGCTATTTTCTAACAAAAATAACACTAAGAATGCAAAGCAACTCTGCCCACTCACCTTTCATTTTTCCATGCCTTGACTTACGGGCATTTTGCATGGCTTGCTTCTTCTGGTTTTCTGAGATTTCCATTCCTGTGTCAAAAGGTAAATTAGGGCACTGGTATAAAGATACTGTATCTAATGCTTGATTATATAAGATTTAAACAAATAAGTAAACTATACTTTAAACAATCTTTAGTAAATCTTAATAGTAATATACCTGAAGTTTTAGATGCATGTTTTACTTTTCATATAAATGTAAAGATAGCTCTTCACTAGGATGACAAGAGGAACATTCATTTGCCTGTAGATTACTGGGGAAAGCTGCTTTCCAGTTCCTGCAAATGGCAATCACTGAGGAACTAACCACACAAAAAGTTCCTTTTATAGCCAAGTTCAGATAGCAAGAGATTAAAAATAATTGTAAACACTTCTGAAAGCCACAAGCCACCAAGCAGTAGATCACAAATGCAGAATCTGTTTCTTTTTCATGCACTATGAGCTAACTTGGGGTAACAAACTGAAGTCACTGCTACTGAAGCAGTACAAGTTTGGGTATCTTTCCCTCCACGCAGAGAAGACAGTATCACATAGTCTGCCAGATACTAAAGCAGGCTGTGATGTGGTTGTGGCTGCATCAGACTGGGGTGGATCCCTCACTCGAGTTCCTCATGTACTCGTCTGCACACTTGTATGATTTACATGATGCTATAGTATGTGGTCAACCCTGTGCCATTTACTGTCATGTGACAAGTGTATGACTGATCTGTGCTGAGTACAGAGAGGCCAGACATCTGCTATAAAAGGTGACACCAGTGACTGGTCTGGATCCCATGTATGAGCACTCCAGTTTCCTGTCCCTGTGTACAATACAGCTGAGACAGATGGATATGTTACATTTGCTCAAGGAGACAACAGGGATCACATGCTGTCACTCATTTTACTCATATTCACATAAAAAGCACAGAAGTTGCAATTCAGAGTCAGAATGAAGCATATGGTTTTGTTCCATTTTGCATATTCCCACTCTTTATTATACTTTTTAAATTTCCCTTTAATTTTTAGCTGAATTTATGAACAAGTTATTACAAATCAGCCTATTATGTTAAAATACAATCACAGTTCACCATAATTTTGGGGTAGCAAAAGTTTATTTTTTTCTGTAGGGTTGTTTTTTTCTTTATAGAAAGAAGGAAACAGATTCTTAAAAATGAAAGCAAATACATCAAAAGAGATCAGACCATTTTCTTAGGGTTACTATTAGTGGTTTGGAGAAGGATTTTCTGGCTGTGGCCTTTTCTTCCCATATATTCATAAAAGCTAAGAAAAGCTAGATACGGTTTGGGAGACAGTGACTTGCACCAAAGTGTCTTTGAAAATAGTAGTGAAATGCTATTTGCAGTTCTGAAGACAAAGAGTATGTATTTGTTCTCTGAGGGGTTAGATTAGAGGCTTTGTGTGAAGCCCAGCAAGATAGCTTACAAAATCAACAAGATAAATTTAAACCTGAGGTTGAGAATACTGGCGCCTTTCCACTGGTTTTGGCTAAAGGAAATGTTCAATTATGCCAAAAAAAGAAGAAATTTTAGAAAAGAAGCAGTCTTCTGTGTAATGGAGCAAACATCCAAGCCACTGTGACTCACAAAACCAGATGGACATTAGCAACTACAACTGAACTGTCTCTCCTCTGGTTCATGATACCTGTGCCAGGACAGGTACATCAGAATAACAAGGGGTGACACTTGAAAAGCAAGTTTCCAGAGGCTGGATGTTAAGTCTGCACAAAGACCTCTATGTGCTGTTATCAAAAATAGTTTCTCGTTACACTGAATCTTCTTCACTGTATTCCACAGTACCTGAAGAGTAGCAAGCAGGATGGACCCCCCCTGTGCAATCCTTGTGCTCAGCACCATGGGAATTGTGACCCAGCCTCAAAAAGGGATTAGTGCTATTATGACAAATCTCATTTCTGTCACTGCCACTGACACCACTGTTGAATGGTTACCCTTCTGAATGTCATATGTTGATTTTCATGAAAGGTCGCAGTAGAACAAATAAGGATATTTAGGGCTGTAGCTGCTATATCTTTACAATTTCCTTGGAGATTTCCGGAGCTGTGTCACCTACCAGGAATGGTAAAACCCCACTGCCTGCACATGACAGACCTGCTGCTGCTCAGCACAAGCACTAGTGTGAGCGTCAGAAGCATCCTGACATACAGCATTTATCCTGCTCACCATACTCTCTTGGTGCTCCATAAAGCAACCACTGCAAGAGGAGATGTACATACAGAAGAGCTCAAGAATGCTCCTCAGAAGGGATGAAAATAGATGGTCACATTTTATCTCCCTCTGCTCAGTCCTGCTCACAAAAGTGAAGAAGCTGTGATTTATTCCATATTGTCCTTCCATATCACTGTACTACTGTTTTCCCTGTATGCTGGAGTGGAGGCTTTCTGTAATTTTGTTGTTAAGAGGGACTGTTTGGACACTCACTTCCTTAGGAATATTAAAAAGTTTTCTTTTTCTTATTAGTTTGCTGCCTTCTTTCTGCATGTTTTGCCAATTAAATTTTGCTGGAACTTTTGTCACTGACCCTAAAGGAAGCATGAAACTGAAAAGAATTTAAAAAAAATAATAATGGTACCAAAGTTATGTTCACACAGAAGGCACTGTCTTTTAGAGTGTTTCACAAGCTGGGGGTCTAAAACTGATCCTGGATTTGCAAGGTCGTACCTTTTTTCTGTAAACTGCCCAGTGGTGCTATCGTTTGATCTGTAACCAACAATACTATGCAACTGCACAGGTCTACTGGACACAGGAGGTGCCATTATATGACACCAAGAGTAAGAATCCTGAATTATTGCTGATGGGCTTTACAATAAAAGTGTCGTTTAAGAATAGATGTTCTGGGCTCATGATTCATACAGAAGTGCTGGAATTTTGTATGGATTTTTATTATTGGTCTCTGTGAAGTGCATCTCGTCGTATCTCATATCTCATTCTGCTCCATAATGCACCACATTTCCATGGGTTATGCTGTGACACGGATGTCACAGCTGACTGCCCTGGACCTTTGGCCCACAGCAACAGGGCAAACACACCTGAATAAGCTTCACTTACACAGCTTAAGGTCATGCCGGGTGAGAAAGAGACACCATTCCCAGAAGGCAAAGTGCACATCTGAACAAAACATAAAGAAATGTAAAGGCCCTTTGTTTTTACCCTCATTTAGAAAGGAAATCCTTCTACTTACCCATTTCCTTGTCTTCCTGAACTCTTCTCCTTTCACTTTCACACGCTTCCATCCATCTCTTTTTATCCTCCTGTTTTTTTGCACAGAACAAATGAATCTCTTCTGTTGCTCTATTTATTATTTTAAAAGCATTCTTGACATTAATGTTAAAGTCTTTGTCTCTGCCATCTTCAGTGTCCACAATTTCCATCTCATCCATGTCAATACGATCTTTGTAATACAAGATGTCCCTTCTCAGTAAGTCCTTCTTACAGAACACAAGCTGATGGTCAAAAAGGAAGAATGTCCTCTGCTGGCTTTTGCCTTGCTTTGATATTTTGGTCAGTTCTCCTGAGTGGATCAGTTCTGAGCTTCTGGCTAACACATCTGGTCCCTAAGAAGATACATATATGTGGTAAGTAAAAAAAATGCTAAGATCTTCCTGTGTGCCTAATCAGTCTCATAATCAAGATTTAAGTCCATTCATTTTCTTTCATTTTTATTATTAGATCTGAGAGTGTCATAGAATGTAGATAATCTCATACAGGCGAACTCTTTGACTATGGTTCTGCTCTACTGTATTTCTGCATAAATCAGGAGGAGTCTCATTAATGTCAGTGAGGCAGGTTCAAGTTCTGATAGAACTACCAAAGATCCACAGAAGATTCTATAGGTCCAGCATTTTGAAGAAAACCAATTTTGTCGTCTCAATCCAATGTCATCACAAAGACAAGTGCCCTTGTTAATACAGGCAGCTCTTCCTGATTTATGAGCAAGGTAATCAGTAACAGAATCACTGCAAATGAAGCAACTGGACTTTTAACAGAGCAATGACCATTTGAAGAGCAGACACCATAAACTACCTACTATGCAGAAAGACATGCAGTTCTGTACACAGTACCTTTGCTCAGGAAAGGGATGGGCTGACACTTACCTCCCAGTCTACAATAGAGACTTGCCAACGTGCAATCTTGTCTATGCTTTCTAATCTTCGTTTTCGCTCATTGATCAGACATGCTACATTCTTCATAGCCTCGTATGCAGCTTTTATGTTGTTATAATCACTGTGAAACGTAGGCAGGTTTCAAAGATCACATATACAATGGCTATGATGCAATCACAAACTGTGACACAGTGCCTAAAGTATTAGCCTGCATTACCCATATATCCCTCTACTCAGGGTACTTAAGTAAGAGTCTTGGCTATCCTGACCTCACATATTGGCCTGCACAATGCAGCATTGCTGTACTGCTAGGCTTTGTCCAGGAGTAAATTATTAACCTGGTGGCAGGAGGCAGAGGAAGTAGATTGAGGAATTGCAATACCGTCTCTGCTGAAAACAAGGGTAGAGCTCCCATTAACCTCAGTGATGCCTCCTTTTCACCAAAGGAACTTGGTTTTCAGTGAGATTTTACTGGGATTTCAGTGAGAAGGGCATTCTTTTAATCGTGTTTAACAACTTTGTTTTCTCCTTCTTGTTTTCCATGGCTGGGTCAATTAATACAAATGGAGAACTCTATGTCATCAGGAAAAGTATCAGAAGCAACCTCACACAGGGTGAGCAAGGGACCCAAGAACATGGGCACAGAAGAGAGGAATTAGGGAGACCATGCTGACAAAGTGGCCTGTTTTCATGGAACAAGTGTGTTAGAGCCAAGATGGTCACCTTCCCCTGCCTGCTCCAGGTCAAATGCAAGCCTCCTGTCCTTCTTCCATTGTTCTGCTTCCCTCTTTCTTTCCCTGAGCTCCCCACATGCTTATGAATCTCCCCAGCTGTAGGAAGGTTTTTATTCCCCTTTGAACATCATTCCTTCACATTTCTCAAATGGAGTCTCTGAGAAGACAGAAGCATAGAGATGTATTTCTTGCCTCAGAGTCCCAGAAGAGCAGCTGCCTTTCCTCTTGCAGAAAAGGGAGACAGAGGCAGAAAACAGCATGAGCCAGAAATAAACCCTGCAAAGGGGTCAACCTCACTGTCCCTTTTACCTGCTTCTGTCTCAGTTCCTATTTTAATCTGCTGCTGCTGCTGGATGCACTTCCCTTCTAAATCTGCCCATTACTCTCCTCTATTTTTATATATGGACATTTTTTTCTGCTACACTGTAGACAATAAGTGAGATTAACAATAACAGGATCCCACTAAGGCCAAGGAGATGTTCCACAGGGTGACAGCAAGATATCCACCCTGCTACTCTTGCCCCTGCCTATCTCAGTTCCTTCTGTCTCTGCTGGTGTGACTGTTACGCCACACCTGCTGCACAACCTGTGGCTTTCACAGCAGGCTTTGCACTTGAGATCGTCAAACTTTTTATGACAACAAAAAAACCCAGTTAGCTGGAGCTTTTCCAAGGCTCTATGTGCATGTAGGCCTGCCTGCTTGAGAGCATCTTGGTAAACTGGGCACCTTTCTAAGTTTGTAGGCATCTCTGGATGCTGATGCAAAGGAAAACAGGTGCTATGGGTGGGAGGTGGCAAGATCTCACTTTCACTTTAATAGCTCACAGAACAATCCTGCTAAAATTAGCAGCAGTGAAAGAGATACCCATGTTAGTAACTGTTACTGCTGGACTTCCCAGGCAGCCATGGAACTGAATGGAGGCACATCACACCTGGATGTCTGTACTTCACATCCCCTATATTTGTCTCTGGCAAACATCCTATGGTGTCCAAGGTGAGTTTTCTCAGGGTTAAAGAAGTGCAGACAGACTTCAGCCAAGGAAGCATTGCCTCAGGCTGCACATGGACCTTGAGCACAGGGGTCACAACGGAACATTTTTCTTGCAGTCGTACAAGGTAAACCCCCATATCTTTAAAGATAAAAATCTTAATTTAGTCAAAGATTTAATAAGCTCAGAGGTCTACTAGGAAAGCTAATAACCTGCAACTTTATTTCTTATTTGTGCCGGGTGAGTATCTAATATCTGGACTTCACTGCAAACAAAGGCAATGTTTATTACTAATACATTTCTAAAAAACATTACCTCTAAACTTTTTCAGACTGTGGGTTTTTTTCTATTCCTTCTTTAAGTTTTCTTGCATCCATAACATTTATGCAGCTTCCCCTTTTCTTTGGTGGATTTCCTTCCCCTTCATTTCTTTGACATATTTGCTATTTTTCATTCTGAGTTACACATCACTCCGTGCATCCTACTTCAGCACCTTCTCCCTTTCCTTCATCCTCTTTCACTCATTTCTCATTCTGTTTTGCATCCTGTCAGTCCCCCATGCTGCATTTTCAGATGCTGATTTTGTTAATATCTCTGATGGTTTCAAGGTGCCCATCTAGTAAGGAGCTCATGTCTATAGTGGTCAAGGGGAGTCTTGCCATGTCACCAAGAAAGCTTGAATAATTAGGTGTTATTACTATTAGAAGATTGTTTCTTTTCATTCGCTCACCTGTGCTCCTGAGTGGTATATTTGAGCAATTCTGCAAGCTGCAGGGGGTATTTGCAGATTTTCTGTACAGGCGTGAGAAGAAAACCATCAATGGCAATGTCAATCATCTGCTGAAGCAAGCGACAGGCCTCAAAGAAGTGACGGTATTTGCCCTGCTTCATCAGTTTGGAAAGTTCAATGCAGGCACTGGGATGATTGTTACAATACTCTGAATAAATAGCAAAGCCTTCTTGCTATTAAAAAAAAAAAAAAAAAAGTCAAAACATAACCCTGAACAAACTAAAGTATTTGTCTATAAAGGAGGAGAGATGTTTTTGTAACATCTATTATATCTACTTAGATCAATTAATCAATTTCTTATATTGTTTCCAGGCTGATCAGCCTTGAAACTATGCAGAAACCTACTTTGTGACTGCCAGAAGTATGTACCTTTTTTGTAAGAACACAGAAATACAGGGCCCCACTGAGTCAGAATAATCAAACCCACTTTAGAAAGTACTTTCATTTGGGGAAGGCTGATATAGGCTTGAACTCACAGCCTCTTTCTCCACCACCTTCTTAGGTATTTTTTTCTAGGAAGTTTTTTCACCCAAATCACTGCAAATAGACCAGATCATCAGCGATCATTACAGTTTTGAAAAAAAAAATTAAAGTTGTGTATAAAGCTACACCTTGCGGAAGATGATGAGAAATCCAAACCATTTTAATAATTATTTAATTGTAAATTATTTTACACTCTAAAATGCCGTCTAACCATAGTTAAGTATTCGATAAGCACTGGTTATTAAAATTTCCTTCTAAGAGCAATTTAGCAATTTTTTATCATGTTTTGTTTGTTTCATAAAATAAATCAACTTTCGCAACGTACATGTTGAAGAAAACATGACCCTATTTCACTTAGATGAGGTTCCTCTTTGTTGTACTGTTTCTCAAGATCCTTCAGAAACTTCCTTTGGAACTTGTAAATATCTTCAATATTTCCAAAAATGGTGCTTAACTGAGCTGTGGTGAACATTCCTGTGTGTTTGCGACACTGCCGAATATAACCCTGCAAATGAAAAAAAAACAACAACAAAACCTGTGAAAACAGGTTCTACCCCAAACAAGCCCATTTGAGCTGGGAAAACCCCTGTGACCTATGGGCAGGTGAGTGGCTTCCCAGCCATACACAAACACACAAATGCAATTTCAGATTTGCATCTGAAATGTTTCCACACTGATTCTTGCAGTCCAGTACTGTAAATCAATCAGGGAACCAGAAACCCACAGAGCTGGTAAAGCGCATTTGCATCTCCTTGTTCGACTACATGCCAAGCTGGAGGTGAGCCTGGTGTAAACCCCATGCATGCTAGTACTTCAGCTGCCATGCTTTTTGTAGCAATTTATCTGTGACATAACAGTTCTTCCCTATGTGGATAAGAACAAACCCTAAAACAATTAATATAAAGACAACTTCTATGAGAGCTAAAGCACTGAAGTACCTCCCCCTCTACTATGTTCCTCTGAGACCCCACCTGGAGTACTGTGTCCAGTTCTGGAGCCCTCAACACAAGAGGGACATGGAACTGTTGGAATGAGTCCAGAGGAAAGCCACAAAGATGACCCGAGGGCTGGAGAACCTCTCCTATGAACACTGGCTCAGAGAGTTGAGTTTGTTCAGCCAGGAGAAGAGAAGGCTCTATGGAGACCTTATGGTGGCCCTCCAGTATTTGAAGTGGGCCTAAAGGAAAGCCAGGGAGGGAATGTTTACCAGGGCATGTAGTGATAGGACAAGGGGCAATGGCCTTTAATTAGAGCAGGGTAGATTTAGATTGGACATCCGGAAGAAGTTCTTTACTATGAGGATGGTGAAGCACTGGAGCACGTTGCCCAGAGAGGTGGTGGAGGCTCCATCCCTGGAGGCATTCAAGGTCAGTCTTGACAAGAATCTGAGCAACCTGATTTGTCAAAAAGGTCCCTGTGCACTGCAGGGGGAGCTGAGCTATATGACCTTTAAAGGTCCCTTCTAACCCCACACATTCTTTGATTCTACTGGTTCCTTAACCAGTTGGTAAGTGGGGCACAGTTTAAGGTAAAGAATCAAAATGAAGAACATATGATAACACATTCAGAATGCTGCTGTTTGGCAAAATCTACATGATATTGGCAGGAGGTAAAAAATAAAATAACTCTTCCAGTTTTTTCCTCTTTACTTGTAGGAACATCACAGCAGTCCAGTTCACTTTCTTCATATCCAGTCTTAATACACAACTGAGTCCTTCACTTTTACAACACCCTAGGAACAAATTCCCCTCTGCCGTCAGTAACTGACATTTTTTAGATGGCATTGGCATTTGCATAGCTAAGAAGCAAAAAGGGGCAGTTGGGGGCCTCTTAGGACTGAAACAGAGCTGCCACACACAGCCAGCACATTCTCAGGTACGTCTCCTACAGAGCTGAGCGAGGCGAGGAGGATGCAGTGCAGGGCCTGACTATCCAGGGACAGCAGCTGTGCTCATACTCCCGTACCAGCCGTAGTGCCGGGGTAGAGATTAGAGGTTAACTTGTGTGCTAGGGGTTATCTGCCAGGCTCCTCTGTTTGGCTGCTTTCAAGCAGGCTTCCCCCAAATCACTTTGGGAGCAGGCAGCTGCAAAAAGCCTTGCAATTGCTCCGGTGAGGTTTACCAGGAAGCAACCCTGAATATTGCTGGCACTGTTAGGAATATTCCTGTCTCCTTCACAGCCATCTGCTCTGAGAGCTGTGCAATGGCTATGCTGCAAGCCAGCTACCACATTTCCTACTGTTAGAAGGAGAACTCCAACAAGGAAAACTAATTCTTGTGCAGCTCTTGTAATGTGGGCTGCAGACACTTCTTGAATGTAAAATGTTTTTCTGGATATACTCCAGCTTCCTGACTGCACCAGTCACAGTGATTCATTCTAGTGCAGAGCTAGCAAACTTGGTTTACTATCTGCAGTGTCTTTTCTGGCTTTGTCTTGAGTATATTTTCAGGTCCTGCTTGCACCACCCTACAGATTCACCCTGAGGAAAGCAGACCATCTCAACCCCTCATGTTGAGTGCGGAGCATCATTTCTTTACTTGGAAAACATGTTTTTGCTCTTTTGTGCTAACCTCAAGAGGCATGCAAGATTTTTAAAAAGTGGTATACAATATATGTATTACAGAAAATCAATTACTAATATCAGTCTAAGAATTACTAGGTCAGTAAAATACGAAAGTCATGTCCTAGAACTCAGCTAACCATCAGAGCATCAACACAGCTGAATGTACAAATTTCTCCCTGATCTTTCAGGCACAAAGTAAAGCTTATTAGCTTAAGTAAATAGTGAATCTAAATTACAAAATTTAGACACAAAGTCTTTAAATTAGCAATTCCTTTTGTTTTCCTTTTTTTTTTCTCTTCAAAATACATTAAAAAGGTCTGATCTAAAAATAATAATTCTTAAAAAGCACAAAAGAAACAAAAAAACCCCAACCCACTGCTGTCTGGTCTTTTTTGTCATTCATGAACAATATAATGATGAGTGGTGGACTAAAGGATGACAACACGACAAATATGGAGAAAGACCTAGCAAACTAAGGGTACAAAGAATATTTTGGTAGGCTACTTAGCACCCTTCCAGATGCTAACCACAAATACAAGTCAAATATAGGTCAAATGCATCACAGCCCATGTCAGAAGGGGCAAACTTCAGTCAGAAGTATTAAGAAGTTTCTTGTTCAAGAGTAGGCCTCCAAAAAATTTTGAACAAAATCAGAAAAGCCCCTACATTTTATGGTTCAAATAAGCAAGGTGGTTCTAAAACACCTTTAAGACTTGTACATAACTTCTAAGCACCCAGCAAAAATCTCTTTGTTGGAGAAAGCAAACAAAAAAATCTCACCCAGCAAACACTGTCTTTGCAAATTACTTTCACAAACTTTTGTCCCATAAGTGTGATTTTATTAAATTTACTGAAAGTTTTCTATCTAAACTAACTGGTAAAAAGTACTAAATAAACTGGACTTCTTTCTCGTATTATTATGGAAATAATACTAATACTAATACTAATACTAATACTAATACTAATACTACTACTACTACTACTACTAATAATAATAATAATAATAATAATAATTTCTTCAGAGAAGCAAAACACTTTTTCCACGTCAAAAGAGAAATGCTGGTTTTTTTAAAAAGGAAGCAGTGCCCTGTGACAGTCAACAGAAAGAAAAGCCACAAGAAGGGACTGACTTGACAGCCTCAACTGGGAATATTTTTGTATGAGACACCACTCCAGTTCTCAACTTATATGGAATGTTTTGTTCACATTAGATAGCAGAAAGCCCTCAGGTTAAAGCATGTACCTCACAGATGTCCTTGAGATGCTTGATATAGACTCGTTCTGTGTTCATAATTTCCTGTATAACGTTGGTTCTCATCTGATCCTTGTTTTCAGCTATTTTCTGACGATGTTTGCTAATATCTGCATCTTGTTCTTCATCCTGGATACTACTACAGGTTTCTGGCACTTCTTCCTGATTAACTCGCAGCTGCAGCCAGAACAAAGCAAACTAGAGTAAAGCAGCAAACTTTTACAAAGTGTTATAAAACTATTAGAAACTTCTTACAGTTAAGAGAGGACTTGCTACAGAAATGTTTCCACACTTACCTATTTGAGGGTGTTTCACAACAGGATTTCTCATTGTACCCACTGCACATTCAAATAAAGTGTTGACATTTCAGGCTGGTTCAATACGTGGCTTTCTACTCACAGTTTCTGAGATACCATGTTGTATTGCCTGTGAATTTTTCAGACTTAAGCTCATTTCTGACCCTTACTAATAGTTTATGTGTTATTTTGGCCAAGCCAGCATATGGGTAAAAATTATAAAAGTAGACAACTCAAACACTTTAAAATAGCTTCCCTCTGCTCCAATTCCCCACCTGTACCATGTGGATAACAGCACCTCCTTTTTCAACTTTTGTCTGATTGCCCATGTTGGCAAGAGATCCAGGAAGGGCAAAAGCAGGAACCATCACCTGCACTTTGTGTAGTACTTCACACAGTGTGGCTCAAGCTTTATTACAGGCTCTCAAAAAGTACTTTAAATTAAGTTGTAAAACATAGCTCAATTTTATACCAGAGAGCTATACGGTCATTAATCTGGCTGAGTTCTGGCTGGGAAGTTCCGATTGTGAGCCAGATCCCTACACAATGTTGTGGTAATAAATTAAGGCATGTTTTACCAAGAAATCCCTGCAGCACAGCTTTCCCCACTCCCTCATGAAAACTGCTGCGTTCTCTCTATACACATTGACTGCTCCTGGTTGAGTTTTCCGTTGCCCTCACTTCTGCTTGAGAAATTCCTTTGGTTACAAAAAGACCACAGAAAGAAAGAAGCCAAAATAAAAGGCATCAGTGGAGTTAAAGGATCTTGGGGTGTGATTCTCTATTGTTTTTTACCTTGTGAAATCATTAGGAGTTACACCACTGATGTTCAGATATACAAAGATGCTGAGATTCAGGCTCTTCATTTAAATATGGTGTCATGACCACTGCTATTGCACTGTGCTAGGAATCTCATGTGACAATGATGCAAAAGCAAGAGAATTACTCACTCTGACAAAGCTAGCTGGAAACCAGGCTTCCTTGTCCTCTTTTCTTCCCCACCACCAGTCTTTGTTGGAAGCTTCTAGAACTCTAATGACATCTCCAGCTTTGAAGCCCAGCTCTTGATCATCCATAGTCACATGGTCCCAGAGAGCTTCTGCATAGACAATGCTGCCATCACTTATCAGCTGAGAGGGAAAGAAAATGAGATTTTGAGGGACAAAAAGATAAGCAATTAACTGTTCATAAATTACTAAAACATCAAAATACCTTACTAGACTGCCCGTGATTATTCCTATACAGGATAAAACTAAAATTCTGGATTTTCAGAAATGTATGCATATATTCATTAGTGAGAACAACAAGATGCCTACTCCAGAGCAGTTACAGAGACTAACAAGTTACACTCCCAGTAAAGTACTAGTCACTGTGCTCTTCCCTTGGCATCTGCTTGTGGGCTCTGCCAGAGACACAACACCATGGATGCTGGATTCTTCACCACTCTGGCTACTGCCATTGCACTTTTTATTAATATGAAACCTCAAATCTGTGTAAAACACGCACCCAGTCATTACAGCAATGCAAGGCCCAGGATGTTACCTCATTAATCGCTAGCTGTTCCCCTCCAGGCTGCAGGTACCTGGGGGTGGCTTGGCAGAGCTCCTCATAGCTGTAATCTTCCTCACTGCCATTGTCGTCCACTAAGGCCGAAGATTCAGTCCCACCATCTGCAGCAACTAAAACAAAGGTGCAACAGCTGTTTGCTTCATCATTTTTATGATTCAAAAAAAACCCCAAACAATGCAAGAGGAATCTCTGAGAAGTTGCTTTTGTTGTCACGAATATAACAATAACAGCAGAAGTGGAGGGCAGTGGAGCTCTCAGGAAAACCACTTTTCTGCCATTAGATACTTTTTACTCTTCTTCATAATTTTCTCATTTAGCAGCTGACAAAACAGAGAAGTTCTCCCTTTTGTGCAAGAAAAACAGCACTGCAACCATAATTTATTTCTATTTTTACCCAGAGGAAATCTCAAATGACCTGAACCAGAAGGGAGGTCTCACTGCCATTTTCCACACAGCAGATGAGAGAGCTCCAGTGAGTCCCTGGCAGTCAGAGGGGCTGCTGTCAGACCCCCACATGGGTGCCAACACACTGTCACATCCCTGGCAGATATGTTACCATCCAACACCTCCATGCCTGCCCACCCACCCATGACAGGGGTGGGTAGCCTATCCTACAGCCCCTGCTCCCAGGTGCCAGGGAGACTCTGGCAGCACAGAGATACCTATAGGCAGGCCCAAGGGGACTGGGAGTCTGTAATCACCCGAGGAAAACTTTGTCCTAAGTTCCCCAAATCACAAAAAAAAATCTTGGTTTGACAATTGTACATTTTCTGACCAAAAAAACAGCTTGTAAGGAAGGCCAAAACAAGATGGGCTTTCATCTTACTGCACAGCCACATAAACCAATAGAAACACCATGTGAGTGACTGTCACTGTGTACTACTGTACTGCCTGCAGCTACTGTATGAAACTGTAAAACCCATTTGGGGTACATCGCTGGGTGGCAGATCCTTTTGGTGATCATCTCTGTACCGGCAGACGAAGAGGACTGGGGACTGATGTCTGGACCAAGTAATACTGACTGGCTCACGTCCACACTGCTCAGTGCTAGACCCCTTCAGAGCAGGTTTACCTTTCAAAGCCAGCTGACCACACAGATCAGGAGGTGAGCTGGTAATCAAGAAGCCTTCATGACCAGTGGCTCAGTGCTTGAGTGCATTCTCTGGTCCTTGTTAATTTATCCCTAAAGATTTACTCCTATAGCAGGCCCAAGTTGTGAATAACTAAAGAGTTAGAAAACCACACAGTGCTCAAAAATCCAATAAATACATTAAAAAAATTCAGAATGGGCTGCTAGCACTGAGCACCCTTTCTAGGGGTTACTGGGTCCCAGATAAGTTGCCCCATAGCATGCAGAGCACCTCTCTCACTCCCAAGTGCCTGCAAAGGGACCTTTAAGTGGAGTTTGTAGAATCATAGAACAGTTAAGAGTTGGAAGGGAGCTTAAAGATCTTAAGTTCCAACTCCCCTGCATGGGCAGTGACACCTCCCAGTATATCAGGCTGCTCAGAGCCCCATCCCACCTGGGCCTTGAAATTATTTGAGTTATTTAACCTCTAACTTTCACCAAGCAGCAGGGCCCTGATCCTGCCTCTTCTCTGCCCTGCTGCAAGCCTGGAGACCACCTGCCTGCTGAGCAATGGGCTCCAGATGGCCGAGTCAGGAAGAGATGACTCCTGGGGCTTTAATCCACATACCCACACAACAAACCAGCAAGCCACTTACCACCCATTGTCTACCTTAAAGGGAGGAACACTTCAGCCCCATCCTTAAGGGCACTCATACCATCACTAGCATCTTTGGTCATTTGGGTATGAATTTGCAAGAGATCAAAGCATATTACTGCAGATTCACTAAAACACTCTCAAGATTCCTCTTTCCTTTAAAAGGGGAAAAATTTGGCATAGTCTTGATTCAGCAGATCAAGGCTTTTCAACCATTGGCTTCTACTCCTCAGCATTTTAAATATACACTCACATTAAAATGCTATAATCAATCTAACCATTGAGGATGCTGAATCCCTGTTTTTTAAAAAAATATTTTTCTTCCCTACAGGCTCATAATCTGAGCATTGATAAAATCCATCTTGTGAAACTTACTGATACTGCTTTATTAAAAAAATCTGCAAATAAATAATCCATTAAATCAATATTTATCTTATAAAGCAACACCAAAAAAATTAATCCCAGTGATCTTTTCTACATTTCCACTGTACTATCAGTATTGCCTGCTGGTTTGTTCTGGTAACAATGGCACATCAAAACAACTTAGCTCATTTGGCTCCAGATGAAAAATTACTGCAATTTTGGGATGGATAACTATTCTGTACCAAATCAACATGCTCACATTGTCTTTGCAGTCAGACTCAAACAAAAACCAGTTGCTTGCATTCTGCATCTATTCCTCTATTGTTTGCAAACAGAAATGTAAGAGGTAGGGGTGGGCTTTCCCGATTGCTCCAACGGGATGCAAAAACTTAAAAGACAACCTGGGATGGATTCTGATCTCCTAGCAGTTTTGTCACTGGTTAAATCTGCAGGCTCTGAGAGATGACAGGGTATAAGAATCAGGCCCCCGGACTGACACAGTTTATCAGTGCAATCTGAAAACACTGTAAAAAACCAGCAGGAGATAGAGAGAATGTTGTACTCACACGTACCCATCTGAAGGCTCTCCAGGCTCCAAAACCGTGCCATTCCCCCCCTGGCTACCATGCTGCCGCCAGGCTCGACCCCAGGGCAAGGGTTTGACCTCGGACAGGTGCTGCCGGGTCCCCCAGGGCTGGCGGGGGCTCACACCGGGCCGAGCTCCC